CGTAACCGGATGCTGCAATAAGGATTTCCAGGAAAACATCTGAATTGATTTATTGGCTGAATTCATTTCCTCTTCGAAGTAACATGTTAAACAAGGACGAAACATTTGCTCAACAAAATTTTCTACTCGTGTTCGATGATAAATGAAATATTCGGACAAATAAAGAATTAAGTAATTTTCATTTTTCATCGTTGCGATACTTCGATATCTCATAATTCTCTAAATTTAACCATACACCTTCCATAAAATATAGCAATAAATTTCTCCAGCCCATTATTTTTAAGAATTATTCCTCCACGTCGAGGAAGAAAGCAACAGACAGCGCAATAGGCATTTTCTGGGATACGAACCGATAAATAAGTGCGAATTTTCGCTGCAAGCATATCACCAGGTATAACAGAGGATTGCTGCTGTGGTACGTTCAGCACCTCAGTGCTTCTCTGGAATCGTCGAATTGAATCCGTTCCGCTGCCGACTAGACCTGAATCAAGTCACCACACGTGATTAATCGCTTAATGTCGATAATTCAGCTAATCACCCTAATGCAATCACCAAATGAATTCACTAAACTCCACTAAATGTTCACCCATGCGATATGAACAAGCGATGAGAGTGTTTACGCAAAATTTTCAGACAACGACAAATAAATCGTCGACGTGTGCAGGTAAATTAAATGTTGAAAACTAAAGACATTTTTACAAGCTAACACTATCTTCTTCGTCCAGTTTTCAAACGAAATGGAGTGGCCGCTGAAGGTGTGAGAGGCATGAAGCTAGTCAGATATGGCAGTTAGGACACATCAAAAAATGTCTTAGTCGATTTTACTATAGATCAATCGTAATTAATCAGGCGAACGTACACTCAAGCACACAGAACTGCTCATATCTTACATAGCCGCCTTTGTTAACATTGCTTAGATAAACATGAGCGAATTCAGAGTGATGACAGCAGGAGAAATTTTCATTCGTTTGGTACTACTCTCGATGCTTGATTAGTTAAATTCGCCAATTAGAAAGAATTCAGTTGAACGTTCAGTTGCCGAATGCAAATCGCACGTTGTTTGAGCACTTCTTACTCTGTTGAAGTTGGCAAATCATTAACACTAAAAGCTTC